GGTCTGAATTTTTAAACCTCTTACCCGACCGGGTATGAGGTTTTACCCGACCGGGTTTTGTGCCCAGGCCTCTATTTTTTTTTTTCATTTTTTTTTTCATTTTTTTTTTGAAAATGTTTAACACACACACACAAGTTAAATGAACATTGATAAAAATAAAAACTTGGGTTGCCTCCCAAGAAGCGCCTCATTTAACGTCGCGGCACGACGTTATTCATTTTTTTTTTGGTTTTGTTTTATGTGGGATCATGAGCATCCCCTGTTTCACTTTTCAAGGCCCTATTTGGCCATTTTTCATTTTTATTTTTCGGCCTTTTCCAGTAAGGCCGGGGTTTCTTTCTCGAAAAACATCTGATTTTATCCGCTTCTTTGAAAAACATCGGTTCTTGTGGTTCAACAACATGTAAAGAACACAGAGTTGGATTTTGCATTTGTTTTTTCGTAGAGTCCAAGATGTTGAACTCCACTTTTTGATCATCGAACTCTAGAGTTAGTGAACCACTAGAAACGTCAATTTTCGTTTTTGCGGTCTTCATGAAGGGTCTACCCAAAAGGATGGGTGTTGTTTGGTCATCAGTTCCCATTTCAAGGACATAGAAGTCAACAGGAAAGACCATATTTTCTACTTCTATTAGCACATCTTCTACTACACCCTTCGGGTAAGTACTAGAATGATCTGCCAATTGAATCACTACACCTGTTTGATGTAGTGGGCCAAGTTGTAGAGTTTTGTAAACAGAATAGGGGATGACATTTATTGATGCCCCTAAATCTAACAAGGCCTTAGGAAATGTGGTGTTTCCTATTTTGCAAGGGATAGTGAACATGCCTGGGTCGTTACATTTTTCGGGGAGTTTCCTCTGAAAAATGGCCGAGACGTGTTCACTAACTCTAACCTCTTGTTTCCCTTTCAATTTATCTTTTCTTTTTGTTTTGCATAACTCTTTTAAGAATTTAGCAAAACGGGGGACATTTTTCATGAAGTTAAGAAGCAGAATGTTTACCTCACACTTTGCGAAGGTTTCATAGATGTCGGCGTCTTTTTCTAGCTTCTTTGTCTCCTTCAACGCCTCAGGAAACGGGATTTCTTGTTCATATGATGAGGGTGGGGGAAGCTTGGTTTCTTTGTTTTCCTCCTCCGGTGGGACTACTTTTCCAGGGTCCACACCCTCAGTCTCTTCATCGTTCTCTTCTGCCTCTTTTAACGTTGCACCACTTCTCAACGTTATAGCATTCACATGTTGTCTCGGGTTTTGCTCCGTTTGGGATGGGAGTTTACTCGAGTCCTTTGTTTGAAGTTGGTTCACGGCATTTGCAATTTGACCAACTTGAGTTTCCAAATTGTTAATGCTTGACTTTGTCTCATGTTAAAATTGTACCATGGTTTGTTGAAATTGTCCCATGTTTTGTTGCATGGTGACCATGCTTGAGGTCAAAGTCCGGATCATGTCATCAGTTGACATACCAGATTGAGAAGATGAGTTGGATTGTTGAGGGTTTCCATGCCTCAAGTTAGGATGATCCCGCAATCCAGGGTTGTAAGAATTTGAGAATGGATCATACCTCTTCTGTTGATGGCCTTGGAAACCCAAGGCGTTGACTTGTTCTTCTTGGAGGGATGGGCACGAATCAGTGGGGTGCCCGGTTGCTGTGCAAATGTCACAAGCTTTGACCTCCTGAGTGTTAGGTTTCAGAAGAAGTTCTTTGACAAGAGAAGTCAAACTGGCAACTTGGCCTTCCAACGAGGTGTTGGATTCTGCTGCGGCAACCCTTCGAGTTGAGGATCGCCCACTGTAATGTCTGGAGTTCTCGGCCAATTCCGAGATGAGATTCCTTGCTTGAGAAGGGGTTTTGTTAACAATTCCCCCTCCACAAGCCGCATTCACCATGCGCCTATCTTGATCCGCAAGACCATCATAAAAATAGAGGATGAGGTCTTGCTCGGTGTACCCATGATATGGGCAACTAGCACACAACTTTTTGAAGCGCTCCCAATATTCATACAATGTTTCATCTTCTTTTTGCTCAATGTTGCTTATTTGTTTTTTTAAAGAAGATGAGATTGAGGCGGGATAGTACCTATCCAAGAAGCATTTTTTCATTGCTGCCCATGTGTCTATACTTCCCGAAGGAAGATAGAATAGCCAATCCTTTGCAGTGTCTTTGAGGGAGAATGGAAAAGCCCTTAATTTGATTTGTTCTTCCGAGACACCACTGGGGCACATGCTTGTGCACACAATATGGAACTCAGAAAGGTGTTTGTTCGGATCTTCTCCTCTTAGGCCATGAAAGGATGGCAGTAGATGTATGAGCCCAGATTTTAGCTCAAATGTATTACCTTCATCGAGTGTAGGGAAGGTAATACATAACGGTTGTTGATTGAGATTTGGAGCAGTGAGCTCCCGTAGTGTTCTTGTCTCAAGAGCCATGGTTATTGACTCTTCGGTCTCGCTAGAATGAGAACTAGCGCTGGATGAATCTCTGATAGATGATTCCTCCGAGTCGGTGTTAGAAAATTTACTTTTCAACCGCTCGAAAGTTTGTTCTATTTCTGGGTTTTTGTGATATGTGATTTCGTTTATGGAACGATGTTTAACCATAAACTCCACTAAGCTCAGAAAATAGAAAAATAAACACTCTTTATAATTTTTTATTTAATTTTTTTTTTCTTGATATGAAAATAAAAGAAAAAATTATTGCCTTTCCCCGGCAACGGCGCCAAATTTGACGTGCACTCGTCGCTAGGTGCACTCAAAATAAATAATCAATACAACACTAATACGTAGTATAGTGTAGTAAGGTTCGTATCCACAGGGAAAGGAATACTTTTCTTTTATATAAATAGTAACAAGGGGGGGTTTAGATTTGTTTGCTTTAATAACACTAAGATAAACGACCTATATGAGTTTAATTCAATGAGATGGGGACTTGGTTTTGCTTTTATCCACTTAATGAAATGTTCGTCGATCCCGGTTATATCTTTAACTATCTTCCTCTCGAATACTCAATCGAGGAGTATATCCAGTTCATCGAGGGTAGTTATTAATAACGAGATGCGTTCATTAATAAAACTTATTATTGAGTCAATATAGAACAAGCGCCGTATATTAACTTGATAGTAGCAATAAACTTAAGATGAAAACGATTGAGATTGATAACCTCAACACAAGCGGTTTATTGGTTTAATCAATATAATTAATTCCCCTTGGCATATTAACCATGAGATGCATGCATTAATATTCCAAGTTTACTACCGTTGAAAGAACCGGATTAATAACAAGCGTATTAACCGATTGATTCTAGTAATAATTAATATGAGAAATAATACTAGTTGATACTTTAAGTAATGTTTAAGATATTAACATGAAATATGAATAGGAATTAATTAATACTCAAGGAAGAATATTAAAATATATGAATCCTACTATGATTAATATCAAGATGTTAACTAATTGTCATCTTAGTAACACTCCCCAATATTATCATAGAGGAAGAAATAGCTATTACTATAACCAATGTCAAGATGTTAACTAATTGTCATCTTAGTAACACTCCCCAACTTTGATATAGAGATAGTATTTTGAAAGAAAGAATTAATATTCAAGGAAGAAGATTAAAGAAAATAACTCACAACTTACAAATTCATTAAGCTTCAAAGTAGCAAAACCAAGATGGAAGAGTTTAGCTCCTCATTTGGAGACTAAACATGATGAAAAATATAAAGAAAGAGCTATTCTATACTGAGCTTAGATGTACAAAGGAATTGGATATCAAATGGGAAGGAAAAGAGGTGTATTTATAGGTGTTTGGAGGTAGCAGGGTCATTTACCCGACCGGGTTTTACAGAAACCCGATCGGGTTTCTTGAGTATTTGCCCGGAATGTTCATTAGTCACATCTACCCGATCGGGTTTTTGATTTACCCGATCGGGTAAAAGACAAATCTTTGCCAAATCTTCGCTCTGCATGTTAAATTGCCTCCAAATCAAATTTGATCTTCGGGTCAAGTCAAACCCGGTCGGGTTTTTGGAAAACTCGGTCGGGTTTTTTTGACTATTTTCCCAAATTTTCACTTTTTGTTGTTCCCTTGCACTTTTCTTGAACCTTCCAGGATCCTTTTGACGATCTTTACCTAGTTTAAGTTCAGAAAGTCCCTAATCTAAACAAATTACAACTATTTTACAAACTAAACTATTACACCAAAATTGTGTAATATCCAAAGTGAAAGTCAATCAAAACTAATTAAAAATACAAAAATATACATGGAAATTACATGAATGTCAGTTCTCCTGTGATGTTTCTCCATCCCGTTGGAAGGTTCCCACAGCAAAACGGCACGGTTATTAATGCAATAATTAAATAAAGTACTTCGAGTATATTTTGAGAAATAATTTTAATAGGTATATATTATAATGTACTCCCTCCGTCCCATAATTTACTTCCAACTTTCCTTTTTCGTCTGTCCCAAAAAGAACTTCTCTTTCCTTTTTTGACAAAGAATTTGTGGCTCACAGCAATTCTTACACATTCTTACACATTTCTCTCTCCTCTGCACAACTTTCCACCACACAATTCTCACTTTCTTAATCCGTGTGTCATTTGTACTATGGAAGTAAATTCTGGGATGGAGGGAGTAGTTAGTATTGATAACTGTGATGTTATAAATGCATTATTTTTAATATTTAATGATTAATTTGTCACTTAAGATTGTTAATTGTTTTCTAAAATGGAAATGAGAACCTTCTAACGGGACGTCCAAAAAAGGAAAGCGAGAACCTTCTAATGGGACGGAGTGAGTATAACTTTTTCTTTATTTAATTAATAAAATATATTTTAAAAGTAATTTTTTCTTAAATTAACAGAATCAGCCAATACAACCACTTCAGTCAAAATTTCATAAATTAAAGTAAAATCAAGCAAATGAGCCCATTTCTTGCTACATATAATTTCGACACAATGGTATGAAATAATAACAGCCAGAATGGTTGTGTTCTTTTTTAACAGAAAAGGGAGAGTCGGGGGTGAGACCCACTAGAGAATGATGAATTACAGAACAATGCAAATTCCTATATACGGACTCTGATGCACATAAGGACTCCAATCAAACCCACCCTGCTTGCATCCTTCCCTACTCAGGATTGAATTGGGAGGTTTATTCGCTTCCATTCCCCTAAAAACAGAATGAACCTCTCTGGTTTTCCTTCATCCTCTTCCAGCAGGATGACGATGGCGACGTCTAGATATTTGTGACGGCGGTGGACTAGGTGACGGCGCGGCAGCATTCGTTCGAAGTGAATTCTGGAGAACGATAGTGTCTTGCCGAAGGAATAAGAGAGAAGAAACTAAATTCGGAGGAGGAAGGATGTGTGTGATTCTCGAGGGAGGAGAAGACCGGAAACAGGTGGGTCAACTTGCAGGCAGCGTGCTTGTGCCGCCTCCCAACTTCTCAACCGTGGAAGATCTCTGCATTTACAGATCAGGGCTCCCGCAGCCCTCCAATTTCCCCTTTATTCAAACCCTCAATCTTCGCTCTATCATGTATATAGTCAACATTTTGGATTTTATTATCCGCTGAATTTTGTTTTCGAGTTGTGTGGATTTGATATTCAAACTATGCCCCCTTTATTGGTGGTCAGATTTCTGTGTCCCGAGCCTTACCCTGAAGAGAACAAGGCCTTTCTCCGCCTTAACAAAGTAAAGCTTTTCCAATTTGGAATCGAAGGGACCAAGGTAAAAAATTTCTTTCCCAGTTGTTATTTTCATTCTTCAATCTTCATTCGGGGTTATCTATCGGCGATTCTTTTATAGGGTCTTTAAAGGAGTCTTGCCCAATTTCATGTTGCCTTATATTATAAAACTTGGATGCCCAAAGGAGTTTTGTTACCACTTTATTATTGCAGATGGACGGAATGTTTTTTTTAGTTTGTAAATTGATTGATTGATACTTCTCTTTATAGGAACCATCTGCTATACCCAGGAGTGCCATAACTGAGGCTCTTAGAGTCGTAATTGGTATGAGCCTTACTATGAACCTCAAACTACTTTGTGTCCGTCTTAAAACATTTTCCTGCAAATATGTTTTCTGGATTTTCTTTTGGGTGGCGGGAAATATTTTACTGGATTCCCTTATACTTATTACGAGAAGACTTCCTTTTTTGGATACATCTTGTTTTCAGCATTCTACAGCTTATTTAATGCAATTGAATGTCGGGCTAAGGTGTATTAATTTTTTCCTTTCAATTCTGTATTGCAGATGTGAGAAACCATCCGGTGCTGATCCATTGCAAGCGCGGGAAGGTAACATGCCAAATTACTAATTTCTAGTTTGTATGGTTATTCTCTCAGGAAAGATAATCTTCTATTCAATTATTTATCGAGTCTCGAGCTCTATCTTTTATTTATCATTGTCATGAAAATTTATTTGGCAATCTGGCAATCTGCTCAGCTGTCTAGTCTTCTGTGATAAAAGCTTTCATGATACGATTGTTGGAGGACCAAAACACCCAGCCATCCCGTGTTCTCATTCACCTCCGAGGACTGGTCACTGACTCGTTATCTGTGGCATTCATCACCTTCTTGTTTCACTGCCCAGTGGTCAGTGAGAGCCACACCACCGGCTGCTGACATAAATTGCTGGTGCTGGCTCATAGCCGGCATCTGCGAGCCACTAATCATTAGTCAGTGTTCACCAAGATGGCGTCTACAGTTAATGGGATGACGTCGGTGATTGCTTAGCTGCAGTGGTTGTCAATGGGTTTGAGTATAATATTCTAAATTTATTTGGACATGAGGGTATTTTGGATAGTAACTTTAGCATTCTTTTTTTACGTTAAGTACTCTTCTGTTCATGTTAGTTTATCTTGTTTCATGAAATCATACATCTTAAGAAAATGAAATGAGGTAGAAAAATTTTGATACTATCTAATTTGACCCATTATAGTGACTCTCCCATTTATATTCCCATTGACGAAAAATGGTAAATTGAATATATTAAAAAGGGTAAGTTTGGGAGAATATGCTACTTAAGTAAATACGTTTCATTAATGGTTAGATAAAACAAGAACAGGTTCATCAATCTTGATAGTTAAATAGGAACGAGGAGAGTACTAGGTTAGGAATAAAACATATATTGTCCTATTTAGAGAAAAAATAGATGTATTAGCCTATGCAGAGCAACTGTTTCTAATATCACAGATGTGGCTTAAAGTTCACCGGTCTCACTGGAGACCAGCTACTTGACTGGTGGTTGCTAACCCCCTGCTCTATTGCAGCACCGAACAGGCTGTCTGGTTGGGTGCCTCAGGAAGTTGCAGAACTGGTGTTTGTCTTCTGTGTTGGAAGAGTACAAACATTTTGCAGGCACAAAGTGGAGAGAATCTGACTTGAGGTTTCTTGAAGAATATGATGCTCCTTGCATCCGGCATTCCCTTCAGAGCATTATCTATCGCTATACTGCATCAAGGAAGAGACGCTTACTCTACAGAGAAGAAGAGTGTGCTCACAAGCCTGCCGGGATTGCTCAAGTTTAGTTCCCCTATTCTTCTCGGTTTTCTGCAATGCCAATCAAGCTCGTTTTTTACCCAAACCTTTGAATTTTTACAATTTATTTAACTTTTTATAACTGAAATCTTTATGTATTCCCAATTTTGATCTGGATTTGCTTCATACTAATTCTTTTATTTTTGGTAAAAACAATAAATATGTAGGTCATTATACTTCAATGAGATGTTGTATTGACGTATTGGAGATGTTTATACATAATTGCTTGGTATATGTCAATATGCCATCCCTCTATGTTTGTGTTGGAGGCCTATGGAGTATCTATTAGACTAAAACATCAAGATAACACACTTAAGCGGGGGAAACTAGTTTTTGCACTTTATCAAGAGGAAAATAGTAGTTTTGTTTATCATATTATCATATGGCCCCTTTTGATGAGTTAGAGTTTAAGTGATTAAATTAATTGACGTACTGACGTATCTTTCGACGCTATCGGTCAACTAAAATGGAATATAGCCAGAACCCTAGCCGTTGCGATGATCGAACGTTCGACGGAAGATAGCCCACGAGCATGGAGATGCGGATTAGGGTTGGATTCGGTTCGGGCCACCCGGCCCGTGACCCGGCCCGGCCCTGGTACTGTGCGGGCCCGGGACCGGCCCGGTCGGGCGGTCCGGGACCGGGTCTGGGCCCGAACCGGGGGGAAGGGGCGGGGCGGGCTCGGTTCAGCATTTGTGTGACCCGGCCCGGCCGGGTCGGGCCCGGGCCCGGGTCCGGTTCAATTTAAAAAAAAAAAATTAATTTGGGCTCCTACTAGCCGTTGGGGGTGGGGTTGGGGACAACCCAAACGGCTATATAGCCGTTGGGTGGGGTAAAGGGGGGGTCCGGGGGGGTTGGGTGGTGGGGGGTGGGGGGTAAAAAAACCTATAAATACTCCTAATCTTAAACATTTTTTCATATCTCTTCTCTAATTCTTCCTAAATCCTATTCTTAACTCTCTACTCTCTAATTCTCTTATTCTCCATTCTCCAATATATTATATTTATTATTTATAGTTTATATTAATTATCTACTTATATAAACTATAAATAGATATAAATAGTATTATATTACTTATATTTGTTATCTAATTATATATTACTTATATATTTATTATATCTATTAATATAGTTGGAATTATATCTAATTAATTTGAAGTCATTCTATTACTCCCATCCGAAAGACCGAAAGTCCGAAAGAGGTACGAAATTATTCTATTATTTACACTTGTTTAATTAGTTTAAAAAATATGTTGTACACAAAACTAGTTAATTCACTACTTAATTTGCTATAACTCGAATTAATAGTTAGATAAATAGTTAATTAGTTTTTTACAATTTTTTATTAATTGCTACATTTGACTCTAGTTTAAAAATAATGTTGTACACAAAACTAGTTAATTCACTACTTAATTTGCTATAACTCGAATTAATAGTTAGATAAATAGTTAATTAGTTTTTTACAATTTTTTATTAATTGCTACATTTGACTCTAGTTTAAAAAATATGTTGTACACAAAACTAGTTAATTCACTACTTAATTTGCTATAACTCGAATTAATAGTTAGATAAATAGTTAATTAGTTTTTTACAATTTTTTATTAATTGCTACATTTGACTCTAGTTTAAAAAATAAGTTGTACACAAAACTAGTTAATTCACTACTTAATTTGTTATAACTCGAATTAATAGTTAGATAAATAGTTAATTAGTTTTTTACAATTTTTTATTAATTGCTACATTTGACTCTAGTTTAAAAAATATGTTGTACACAAAACTAGTTAATTCACTACTTAATTTGCTATAACTCGAATTAATAGTTAGATAAATAGTTAATTAGTTTTTTACAATTTTTTATTAATTCCTACATTTTTTAGATGGATCGTCCTAGATATTCGGTTGATATGGGTAACCTCGAGCGCAACCGAACGAACGAGCTTGCGAGGAAGAGATCCCGCAAAGGTAAATCACATCTCGACTCTTCATCTCAAAGTCAAGATGATTTTGATACGGGTTACGTAAGGAGGGATGGGGATGCGATGACCGACGAACAACTAGAACAAGAATTGCACCGACATAATTCCCGCTTTTTTCAAGACCAACCGAGGACCATTGACGAAGAAGAGCTCGAGGACGAGGACGATGATGTGGAGGAAGCAATTCCGGAGAGCCACGACGACGAGGAGGAGGAGGGTGGCGGCAGCCATGACGCCGACCAAGCAGCCTCATCCCAAACAGGTACAAAAAAAAGTAAATCTGAATTAATGGCTAATAATTTTTCTAAGTGGAAGGACCCGAACACCGGGAATTGGACCGCAACTTGCAATTGGTGCAAGAAAAACTATAGCTTGGGGATTTCCGGCGGATACGGATCCGCCACAAGACGCCTTAAGTCCAAACACCCGGTGGAGTATGCAAAATTAGGCGGCGGAACGGGGAAGCATACGCAAATATCGAGGTTTGCAAATAATCAACAAGCTTTTGGTAATTTCTCATACAAAGATGCACAAAATTTGACAGGTATGGCTAACTTACTTGTTGAAGAAAATTTGCCTTATTTGTTTTCTGAAAGTCTTGCTTTTCGTGATTATGCACAAACTTGTTTAAATCCGCAATATAGAGGTTATAGTCGCAAAACGGTTAAGAAAGAAATTTCAAGGTTTTATGGTGCGGAAAAGGTAAGGTTACAAAATTATTTTGCAAACTTTGATGGACGTGTTACTGTATGTTCTGACATATGGGAGGATACTTATCATAATTTACATTATTTGGGTCTGACTGTACATTATATTGATAATGATTGGCATATGCATAAACGTGTTCTTGCTTTCCGTGAATTTAATGATCGTCACACCGCTGAACATATTTATATTTTGATTGAACGTATTTTAATTGAGTATAATTTAATTGATAAGGTGTTTGCTATTGGTTTTGATAATGCTACTAATAATACTGCTGCTATTCCTAGATTGCGTGAATTGTGTGGTTCTACTTCTTTGATGGGTAGATTTTTTCATCAACGATGTGCATGTCATGTTCTAAATTTATGTGTGCAAGATGGTCTAAAAGCGTTGGGAGCATCGTTGGAGGTAGTCAAGGGGGGGATTAGACGTATTTGGGGTAATGGACACCTTAGGAAAAAATGGCATGATTATTTGATAGAAAGAGGTGAGAGATATGTGGCTTTTCCAAAAGATTTGTCTATTCGTTGGAATAGTACCTATAAGTTAATTGGAGTTCTTCTTAGATATAAACAACATTTTCCTGCTTTTATGAAACAATATGATAACTATATTATAAACTCGGCTGAGATCGACACCTGTGAAAAAATTTGTAATGCTTTGATATATTTTAATAATGCAACTGAAACTTTTAGTCATGTTTATAAACCTACCTCAAACCAATTTATTCGTGAAGCTGTTAATCTCGCCGGTGCTTTTTCAAATTTTGAGAATGCTGATTATGTGAATTATTTTGCTGGTTTTATGAAGGAAAAGTTTTTAAAATATTATTCACATATTCCGCATATTTATGGTATTGCATTTGTTCTCGATCCTCGTTTTAGACTTGGTTCTTTAGAAGAATGTTTGAATTATTATTATGCTGTTTTTTTGGTCCATTGCCAATGTATGAGGACAACCCAATTGATCCGAAAAAAGAATACAACGAGGTTAGTAATATATTTTATGCATTATTCAATGAGTTTCAAGCACAATATGGCAATGCGCTCCCTCCCCCGACACAAACATCATCTAAAGGAAAATCAATTTTCAAATCTACGTTTGCCAATCTTATTAAAAAAACAAAATCAACTCCCGCTACACAACAAAGCACAATTAATGAGATTTCTTTGTATTTAACTTATGATGTTGATTTTGAAGAAGATGATGATTTTGACATACTAAACTGATGGAAGGGAAAAGAAAGAATGTTCCCGGTTTTAGCAAAGATGGCTAAGCAAGTGCTATCAATGCCGGTTTCAACGGTTGCCGTGGAACAAGAATTTAGTTCGGCCGGCAATGTTCTAACACAAACCAGAACGAGGTTGAGCGCTGAATCTCTTGAGATGCTTATTTGCTACCACGATTGGTTGAAAGCAGCACGTAGAGCTCAAGAAATTGACATCACTCCATCCCAACACTTTATGGATGAATCTACAGAGGGTGGCTCTACTTATGCCGGAGATTCCGATTAAAAACAATTATAATTCCTATTTCATTTTCAAATGTAGTTCCTATTTCATTTCAAATAAATGCACTTGAAGTTTGTTTTTTAATACTTTTATAAAACTATAAAGTATAAAATATAAATTTAAAAAAAAAATTACCCGGCCCGACCCGGCCCGGCCCGGCCCGGCGGGTGGCCCGACCCGTGACCCGGGCGGGTGGCCCGGCCCGAACCGGACCCGTCCAACCCTCGGGCCGGTCCTGGGCCCACTATTCTAGAACCGGCGGCCCGACCGGGCCTAGGCCCGGCCCGAATCCACCCCTAATGCGGATGAATTGAGAGTGTTAGCCCGCCCATTATGGGATGTGTCAGTTGGATCTGTAGGGGTTTGGGGAACTTGGCAACAGTGCAGGTGGTGATGGATGTTGTTCCTTCCTGTAGACCTCATATAATTTTCCTCATGGAAACTTTGGCTAGTGCGGAGCCTAGTTAGCTTTTTCTCGTTTTAAACATGTACCGTTTTTTTGAACAAAAAAACACGTTTAAAACGAAATATAATGTCAGTCCATTTAAAAAGGAAAAAAATCTTACTTCCCGTATAAAGCGTATGTTTCTCGTATTTTACTAAAAACAAAAACATGAATTGATTAATTGAATGAACGCATTAAATGCATATGAGATCAACAATAATTTAAAAGCAAAAAAGAAAAACTCCTCCATGTGACCCCGTATTTTTGTATTTTTACAATACAATTATTAAATACTAAAATTAATTGTATAGCGGCTAAAGCTATATCCCGTATTCTACAAAAAATAAAAACATGAATTGATCAATTGAATGAAAGCATAGTAGATCAACAATAGTTTAAAAGCAAAAATAAAAGTTCATCTCTGTGATCACATGTTTTTGTATTCTTAAAATACAATTATTAAATACTAAAATTAATTGCATGGTGGCTAAAACTAGCATCCTAAAAGACTAAAACTTAAAGTACTACTCCATACTAGATTTGTGATGTTTTTTGAAACAAACATGTCAAAATTTAAGTTTTTCTAAACATAACAATTTTTTAGTATAAACTTTTACAC